ATTTTATTTAGATAAAATGATGTTCAAATATAAATGTGTTGAAGTTACTTGTTTTAAAATAAGTAATGGCTTTTGGACATATGAAGGATTTTAGCAATAGTTTGTGTGTGAAGAAAGGACAATGTTTGATTAACTCTTGTGTCTCATTTTCACTTTAGTAAATCAAAAGCTCAGTTACCCCTACTTGCTGCCCCGTCGATTCGGTCCATCTAGATTTACCTCTGGACGAATGAATAGCGCGAAATGCACGAAGTATGAAATTGACCAATTTGTGTACAGCGGATTGCTGTATGATAGGCTTAAATGCTTCAAAACGCGGAAACGTGACATAAGTGTTTCTGCTGTCACAAGGCGTAAGCTTAGTAAGCGTTATGGTGAGTAGAACAAAACTAGAGCCAATGTGACTGGCTTTCATTTTGCAGACTTTCAGCTGGCGATTACCACAATACGCCGGCTGACTGGATCTTTCAATGAAGCCTAAGTTGAGGTGATCGGGCTAGAGGGTTTCCAATGCAAATCGGATCCGTCGACTGGTGTCCTCAACTCACTGACATTCAGAAAAGCCATTTGAGTAAATGACACTGGAAACGTTGGCTCAGGTCTCAAGAGACGGGTTTCGCTAAGAGTCCGCGCTCTTAGACCGATTATTCATCAAATAATGAACATCTTCAAAAGGCGTTTAAGCTAATTTGGGCAAATTTGCCAAGCTCAAATAGCAAATTCAGGCCAGCTCCATTGAGTCATTGCACCTTCGCCAATCTGCCATCACTCACCCATTGACGAGCAATGCAGACCTGCGTGTAGCAGGGCATTTTTCAGACAACCCATCATGCCATACGGAGATTGATAGACTTGGAGACACAAGATAAGAGAATACTGAGAAGCCTTTTAGTAGTGTTAGGCCCGGCGCCTGGCTTCGAATGGGCCAACGAAACGACCGGCCGGGCGTTGCCTACTGGAGAGGTGGGGGGATGTGGGGTGAGGGAGAGAGTACTGAAGAGGGGATGGAAGATCCTGAGTGGCGGGGCGTCGAGATGTGCCTACGATGATGGACAGTGAGCTCACATCGGTAGTAATATTAGTGTAAGGGAGAATTACTAAAGCAGTAACAGTAACAACAGCAGAGACGTTTGTAGATGCCAACAACGGGTTAATGAGGAATCCAGGCCTGCATAAAGGGAGATGCAAGTCACGTAATTGGCGCGAGGGAGCACAGTTGTGCTCTAGACCTTGTTCTTGATGCCAGCTTCATTTTACCCACCCTTTCACTGTCGCCAGAAAAGGCATCACCAAACTCCTTCAACACTCACAACGGTTTCCCCAATTCACCCGGTCTGTCAGTAAAGCCCTAATTGACATTGATCATTTGTCCTTTGAAGGAACAATAAAGAGCATTCGAGGAGGCCAGAAGCACAAAATTGGCCTTGCCCAATCGCTATCAGCAATGCAGAATTAAGGCTGGTAGGGTTCGGCTGTATGGCCTCTTAGTTTGGCGGGATTTAACGAAATGCTATATGAGCACATCTAGGAGGCACAGAGACCATCTCTGGGGTAGTGGTATTGACTTAGATAGCGCCATGGATTTCATTCAAAATTGATACAGCCAATAATTGAGCTTTGGCTATAGCTTCTTATATCTCGTAATATCGGATACAGCTGAATAGTGTTTTAGGCCGGCGAGAAGATTTATGATTTGTCTATAGCAAGTATGTATACGGTTAAAGAGATGATAACGAAAGAATCGTCTAATTTGAACACCATGATTTACTTGAATTTTCATAAAGATGTAGACATTTCATCATCATGGCTTGAACTATACAATTTAGTGAAAATTTCTATAGCAAAGCTGAGGATTAAAATGTGTGCCTCCCCATCAACCGAGGGCGAGACTGTTAATACGGATATGAGTGAAACTAGACAAATCAAGGGCCTTAATAGATAGATAATTAATAATAATTCCACTGGCTGATAACGTTTCAGATTTTTTCGCGTCATGCGATAGCAATCTTCTCCAATACTGTCGCGATTCGATTCCATTGTTGCAATGACTTTATGGCTATTCAGCACCCGACCATGTCACATTGACTGCTGGATAGTTCCATAATGGATGTATAACAAGCCAAAGCAAGACCAAAATGGCAACCCAAACCAGACGCAGTTACAATTTTTCTCCTAATTCATGACAGTATTTTTTTATTTTAATACATATTGTGTTATGGATAGTAGGATTATCCCCAAATATAAGCAATTAAATAAGTAAATAAGGAGTTTTATCAATATCATAATTTATGCTTCAGAGGCAAAATATACTTTGCTTTAGATTACTGGAAGGTAACACCAATTAATTTTGATTTAAAGAACCAGAAGCAAGACAACAGGCAGAAGAACGGCTGAGCATCGGGGCCATATGAAATCTGCATAACAGAGCATGGAGCTTCGATGTACATTGGATGAAGAATCGTATCTTCATCTACAAATAACTTACCAGTTCCATTTGCGAATTGTATCGAGTTAATGACTCGCAGAAAAGCCTGATAGTTTCCCTTTATGGTTTGAGGAGGCATTAGAAAATTAATGTGATGCAAGAGGGCGTGACGACAGAAAAATATAACTGGCAAGAGGGAAAAGGAATAGATAAGAGTGTATAGCTATCGATTTGAGGTTTACCCGAACAACTGAAGATATTCAAATAAGAAAACTTGCCACAATCATCAAAGTTACCATATATGCTGGGTAGATTATGCCCAACTTTCGAAAAAAGCCAGTCAGGAGGGTTTCATAGGGTGAAAAGTCAAAACGAGGATAACACAACTGGGTGCCAAGCCGAATAGAGGGTATGAAAACGGGCTTTCGAAGAATGCCCCAATAGATTGATGGTGGAGTACCTTACCTTTCGTTAGAAGAAGCGAGTGCTAGGGTTTAGTAAGTTGGCCTCATCGAATGCTGGAGGGGGGTTGTCTTAGAACTATGACTGAAGATTTGTACATCACACGAAAGTCTATAGCTCGGCAAGGATTCGTTGGAGTCGTGGGACAATGGACCGATAACTTATTCTAACAAACTTATAGTCAGAGCTCCACGGCAATCACCCTTCGGCTTCCGAGGATGCCAACTTACGAATTCCTTCCACTCGCCTCTTCAAACAAAATTAAAGGTTATCTAACACCTAAATAGACGGCTTGCAGCCGCATTCTTAAGGCCGACTATAATTCCACATTTCTGGGGATTATTGTATTTAAAGTGACGATTATATAAATTTTGCACTCCTTCATGTGCCACAAATTTTCATGTCCATCCATATAGTTGGAAAAAGGTTTTAAAGATGATAAATGAATTTTATTGCTTTAAATGACCACCAAAGCACAAAGTTTTGGAAAATGAGTGTGCTACTGCTTACTCTTGCAATCGAATCTAGCAGTATATGCAAGTGTGCTTGCCTGTGCACTGAAGTATAGTTGAATGAGAGGAGCGGATACATGAAGAGAGGGTCGGATGAAAGTATACCAAGAAAAACAAAAAAAAGAAAACAGATCAAGTAAACCTCTAAAGGTAAGGAACGGGAATCTTGGCCATGATCAAAAGCACACTTTAGTAGCAGTCAAGAAGAGGGATAGAGATAAATAGCTGAAAGCTTTTGTCATTCCACCTAACAAAATCCCGACACCAGCACCATGGACAAGTCCCGTAAAATTTAAGAATGTAAGTGTGAAGGACAAGTCTATACAAAACAAGCTACAGACACTGGAAGGCTGGAAGTTGATGATAGAGTATTAGGCCAATGATAAGCCAAAAGGAAGAGATAAAAATAATGTTTCAAAGCGAATAAAAAACAAACGCGCTAACTAGTTTATTTGGTTTAAGCAGTTCATTAACCTCGCAGAGTCCGGTGACCATCTTTTGACCAAATGTATGCAAGTACACAATTGTATATGAATGGGTGTGCATTTTTGTGTATATTTGCATGGGAGTAAGTGTTTATGTATGGAAAAACGCAGGTGACTTCATGCTTGTGCCGTCAAAAAGCATTCTGTTGATTTGGAGATTTAACTGGACCGAGATAAAAAGCTAAACTCGACAAATTGAAAAATATGGTAGATAGGGGTAGGGTTCGATAAAGAAAGAATTGGAAATGAAAAAATCACAGCTTGAATAAGACAAGAGTGAAATTCTAGCTCGAGAAAACATGAGCTATATGCCAAACAAGAATATGAAAGAATTAAAGAAAGAAAGTGATTCCAAGCTTGAGCACATTTGATATCTTCAGGCAACTTACTATTCGGGCCTGGAAAAACGAACGCTTAGCCGACAAATCGAGTCCTTCAAGAAAAACGAAGACTGGACATCGGAAAATTGATATGCTGAATGATGGTGTATTCATACATACATACACACACAAATATATATATATATATATAGCCCTATATCTTTGGGGAACAACGAATCTACAAATCAAGAAAAACAAAGAGCGCAAAACAACATAATGCCTCGAATCACCAGGAATACCTTTGAGTTTAGCAAATGCTGATTGTGAGACAAGAGATCAGAGCGAATACCTGAGCTAGAAATATCGAACGTAAGAGATAAAAATATATTACAAACAAATATTACTGGATGGGAAAGTAAATTTGGCCAAAAATATTTCGACCAGAGGCGTATGGTCGCTGGTAAGATAAAAAGGCATGACACATGCGGCGAAAGAGGTGCTCAAGTATGCGTACACTTATACATCAAGTTTTAAGCAAAGCTGGATCACAAAAACCAGATCGATTAAAGAATTAAGCTTCGCAGGATCAGATATAAACTGACGCCTGCTTCTATACAGGAAATGAAGGCACAAGTTTGTATGGACGGAATACGAAAGGAGTGAAAACCCGATATGCTCGAAAACATGCATAAACATGTATACGGATATATATATATATATATATATATATATATAAACAAACCAAGTGGTGTAAATTGGAGAAGAAGCGGTCTAACAAACAATTTGATTAGCTTGAAAGAACGTCAATGTCATTAGGTGGTCTTTGGTAAAAGGAGAATAACTAAATACACAAGAGGCATGGTGACGAGTTAAAATGGAAATACTCCGGTCAACCCTGCGTTCACGCTTATTTATTCAAGTGTGGCTCGAATAAGTTAAATCGAGATCTGTTGTTTTACCGTTTCATCGAATGAAGGTCTCGAGAAATAGAGTACAAATACGAAGGAACCCCAAGGTGAGTCCTTGCAATCAGATCGGCGCATCAAGCGGTATATTTCAGAAAACTAGAAATTCATTTGTGAAGAATAGAGATAAGGCGCAAAGGAGACGGAGATAGACCTGATAGAAAGAAACCAGTTTTACTTTCAAACCCAGGCAATACGATTGAAGAGAGAAAGGAGAATTAAAACAAGGATTGAGAATAAGATAACAATAGAATAATAGGATGATGTATAAAGCAGAGGGCTTTATTAGCAGAGGCATGAACAAATAAGAGATGAAAGGCACTGAAACCCAGAGATTCCAATTAGATTACAAACAAGAGACACGAAAACATAGATGATAGGACCATGGCAGATTAAAACGGACTGACAGGAATAAAATAAACAATTGGCAGATGAGAACGGCGGAGATGCTTGTAACAAACTCCTTTAATGGGGAATGACAAAGGAAAAGATCAAGAAATCTACACAATGAAGATCACCGTTGAAATACGGCTGTTTGAGTATATAAAATTGATTAATAGGATTGATAGGTAAACATCATGACCAACTTAATCACTTTATCGGGCGACCAAACATTCATCCGACATGTAAGTCTAAGAGAACCAGAAAATACCCTGAAATGTTTTCAGCATAAACTCCAAATTTGGCTTGGAAAGCATGTGGCTTAACAAACCGAGAGAATATTTTTCCAGGCTATTAACGGTTGCCTTGCTCCCTACTAGCAGGACAATCTTGTGGAATTTGTGAATTAATGAGGTTCGTCATGAGGATGCCATTGAGGCCGATACATGAAAGATCTGAATCCCTTTGCTGATGAATTGATTTTTGGCGAGGCTGGCTACGAGAAAAGTGGAGCTGATGCTGAGCATGAGGGTAATGAGTTAGATGAAAAGGAGAGGCTAAGGCCTCAGTAGAAGCGATATGGGACGGAGAAGAAACAAGGCGGTCAGAAAGGTTAGGCTCTGGTGGTAACCATTCATTGGCATCTGCTCCATCAAAGTATGCGGGAACGATCGTGACATGGTTGGTCACCGAGGGCACACCCCCAGCGGGGACATATCTAGGAGTCATCAAGCCCTCTTCCTTCTCAGTTTGGCCTATCGTCGGAGCGCCGGAGCTTGCTATTCGGTTAACAACAACGGCTTCTGAGAAAAGGTCATCATTGACTGAAGAAGGACAATAAATATGGTCCCTTCCAGTGCATCCACCACCATTGGTAAGGCTATCGCCGCTGCCAGAGTCCGGCAAGCTGGCATAGACGGCATTCCAATCGGGTGAAGTGAGCGATGAGCTAAATCGACCATTAAGACTGGAAGATAAGCTGTCTAGTTGTCCTGCCCTGTCATCATGCTCCGCATACTCATCCCTCTCTATCCTTACATCCTCGCCATCAGTACTCTCAACAGCGCCATCAGTGTCACCGGACAGCAAAAGCAGTTCAGGCAGCGTCATTACTTGACGATTTAACTGATCATGGATAGCTTTTCTGTCTGCCAGCGCCAGAGAAAGATTAGTAGCGCAAAACTCGTTCGCAGTTTGGCCTGTAGAAATGTTTGGCTGACTCTTAGCCATGGCGAGGCTCGAGCTATCATGCATTGTATTCGTGGGCATATGGATTGGTGTGTTGCTAGTTGTGAGAACGGGCAAAGTAGAAGTTAGGGAAAAATCTATATCAAGTGGAATCGGACCACTGGCTTCCACCAGTCCATTTAGTGTCGTCGAGATGGAGTCGAAGTCTAAGTCGACGGGACCCAAGTCTAAGCCTGCAGCTGGAGACGAGATTAAAACTTCCTCTTCTGCCTCATCCCCAACTCCCTCCCCTATAAATATACAATGTTCAGGCTGTGGGTGATCATTGGGCCGAATTGGCGCGTTAGACATTAGCTCCGAACCACATGATAAAATAGAGGTTCGAGACCTATCACTAGAATAGGGTCCGGGCGATGGATCAGGTCTACTGCCCAGAGCTTCGAGATGGACAGGCGACAATGACTCGTCATCTAAAAGCACAGATGCCCAATCAGGCATACCACCAGAAGTCTGCCACCAGGCCGTACGGTCTTTTTCTCGATCGAGATCGTGTGTCCGGTCCGAATATTGGCCACCCAGGCTCCTTTGTTGGCTCTGCTGAAACGGGCTAGAAGATGTTGATGAGGCTTCTCTACTGAGATGGGAGGAGATAGGAATAATTGGCTCGGCTATGGAGTTTGCAGGTCTTGACTGAGAGCAACGACTTGGAATGATAGGCAAATGGCGTAACTGAGTCTCAACATGGCGCTGCCTATTGGATATCACAGTACGGTACACTTGCTGATCTGGCCGAATGGAGAAGGCAAGCGAAGCAGAAGAAGAAGCCGATGAGGAGCAAGATGAGGAAGATTTTGATAAAGTAACACAAGAGGACGGAAAGGGGTGCGAGTAAGATAGAGCATGAGTGTGTGCTGTGCGCTGACCGCTTAGCTCTATACTGTTAAATGGGCTGGCCAAACACGTTCTTGTGGGGCTGGCTGCGGACAAGCTGATAGAATGAGATGGCGATGTTTCGGTGGTCGACGCCCACCAGATAGATTCATCTGATAACGGAGCAGAATGCAAAGTGTTCAATTTAGGTCTGACCCTCGATGAGGCCCCAACATCCGGGCTTGTATGTCCTTTACCTAAGCAATGCATCTGTCTCTCTGAGAAGATTTCAGCTGGTGTGTCGAGAGAGGCTGATATAGTCTGTGCAGTATCCATCACCGAGGCTCCATTCTCATTTTCCTCTACAGCGTCTGAAAAGAAATCAGGAATGACATCACAGTCTGGAGGATTGAAGGCAGGCCATATGGGATCGTCAGTTTCCCAATCACTAGAGGCACAAAGCCCATCATGCGCATCATCGGCGGCGGTTATAGCAGCTGATTCAAAGACAGCTGCAATAGGAGCAGGATTATGGTGCCCAAGTTGCGGCCGATGCATTAATGAACTTTAAATAATGGAAGACAAAAAACGATAAGATAAAGAGGCATACAATTTAAATAGGTCGCTCAGGAAAAACAAAAGTATGCCATAGAACCATATTTTGCAAAACAAGCACTAAATTTTTGCTGAAAATTGCGTACCAATTATTGACAGAGACAGCAGCTCTAGTTCAAAATGTTTGGATTTAAAGTAAGATAAAATCTAGGAAAAATTGAGCTAAGAATAAAACAAACTTGCCAGAATAGCAGCCAAGGGCTTCGAAACACACCCAGTTGACATCAAAGTCCCTACTTATGAATCGAATATAATTTAAAAGGTCTGCCAAAGTTTTGAATAGTCGTAGATAAGAAAATCATCTGAATCTAATTCAAAGCCAATAAAAATATTTTTAATGGTTTTAAAACATCTAGACCTAGCAGCCTAGGCCTAAACGTCCTAATGTTAAAATATAGGCCATACAAATAAAATGACCGTTGAGCAATATGGTGTGCATGGACGGTACGAACTAAATCACAATTAACATAAAAATGATCGCTCTATCAAATCCTTACTTATGCAGTATATTAAGAAACAGATATTTAAAAAGGTTAAATTCTAAAATAGATATAAAGTATTCAAAAAACGAAAAAAGAAGTGGGTTGACCTCGTTGTCGCAACTTGGTCTTGTGTTCAGGGAGACTATGTAAGACGCACCTAGTCCGAAGATGTCTGCCATAGTAGTTGCCATGATTCCCAGCATCTGAAAGTGGACTTGATACATACTCAAACGTTTCGCCGGCATCGTAGTCGGCATCATCAGTCTGCTTTGCCATTCTCCGCACCAAACTACGAACGCGTCAGAGACAAGTGAAGTCAATGCCTCGACAACCGTTCTGCCGAAAACGGTTACACTATCACTCATATTTCTGTCATTGTCTATCGGCTATTTACATTCTTATCCCACTGCCGCCCTA